AATAGTGTCATATCTCAATAAAATAGCCTATCTGTATTGAATTAATTAAAAAAATTACAAATATCGGATATAATAAAATCACAATAAATAAATAAACCAATATAAAACAAACACAAGCTAGCTAGAACAATGTAGGTATATGCAGTACATAAATGAAACCGTTTTAAGCCATATATAACTTTCATTTTACAAAGGCCTCTCTGAAAAAAAAAGATTTTAGTTTTTTCTAAAAACAATAAACAATAATTGACATGGTAAAATTAAAAATGAAATTTTAAATGTAGAGCTTTATTAGTGAATAGCTGCTGAGCGCAGCAAATATGGCTATATTTTATTAGGCTACTTGCTCTTATGTGTTGAAACACTTTACACGACGTCTATCAAAACAAGGATGTTATAAAATATACTTCATACCAAGTTATCACCAGAGAATTTCTGCGGTTTTATATTAAGGATGGGTGCGCTCACTGTGCTGGGTCCCTCAGGTAGTGGCGAGATCTAATAGTCGATGCACAATGCCAACAGTCGGTCGGTGAGTAAACAAATATAATGAATGGAAACAGGCCTGTGTGTATAGACATATACAGTAACTTGACATGATTTCGGCCTCACTGCTTAACATCCCGCGTCGATTGGCCCAGCCCGGCCAGATTAAAGCCCTGGCTCACACTGGCCTGACAGTGGAAATGTGGCTAATGTGTCTTTTCAGGGCTTGGAACAGGTTCAGAAGGTGTGGTAGTATAAGTACAATACATGGTTGAGGCAGACAACAGGTAACAACACCAAATCAAGACCGATACCCGACCCTTCATGCCCGAAAAAATCGTTTATGTCTGCAGTCAGTCTGCAAAATGATCTTCAGAATGCAACAGGGGTGTGCGCATATTTGTGAATACCAACAAACAAACAAATAAATAATAGTCAATTCTGTTAGTTTATTCTAAGCCAACATTAAATCCTAAAAATTTTATATAGCTAAATTAGTTAGAGGCTAGTGTTACCCCAGATTGTCACCAGGTTAAAGCAAAATGAATGCACATAAAAGGATGGAGGATAAAGAAGGACATCTGGGACCTGATGATTTCTGCCAATCACTGACATAGCAAGTTATATCAAAGTGGATAAATCTACTTTTAGTTATGCATGAGCAAGCACTGAGCTATCTACTTCAAGAATATTGCTTTGTGATTATATAATACCCGTTTTTGCCTTCCGGTTGAGACCCTTCCTACTGTTTGTGATTTTCTGCTGCCTGCCTTTTGGACTGTTTATTCAAATTTCAGACATTGATTGTTTGCTGCTAGCCCTGACCCTTAGCCTGTTGTTTGCTTAGCCTGTTTGCTGCTAGCCCTGACCCTTAGCCTTAGCCTGCTTTTTGACTACAATCTTGCTTATCCTGCTTCATTGTGTATGCCCACTCCTGACCCCTGTTTGACTATGAGCTTAATAGAAGCCTGCAAAATGGATCGAAATCCTTGTAATGAGGCGTTACACATAGAGTGACAGCAGATAAATAGATTCACCACAGTTCGACAAATATTACAGCAACAACATAATGTACTTTTGAGGCTTTATTATGCAAGAATGTAGTTGTTTAGATTGCAACAATGCAGTTCATCGATAAAGATAATGCCTATTTTAAATAATAATAATTCCAGTGTGTCAGCGGCCATCAGCCCGTCATACTGAGTAGAGCAAAGATGGTTGCGCCACAAGATGGCAGTGGAGACTGCATATTAAGTCATTTGGGTGAAAAACTCAGTGTTTTCTTTTCGTATTTTAAACTACAGCTGTTTAATTAATAACAAAACAGATAAGTAAAAATATAAGTCAATCTTACTCTTTTGTATGTTGTGGTGCTGTATTTATACCATAATAATCTGTGAATGTTGGCTTTGCTTTGGGTTTGTCATGGTTAATTATTGTGATCTCTCAATTGCAAACAGAGAAATAATGGAAAATCTCTGTAGACTAATGGCATTCATTAATTCATTTATTCATTCATTTTAATTTTGGCTTAGTCCCTTTATTAATCTGGGGTCGCCACAGCGGAATGAACCGCCAACTTATCCAGCACATGTTTTATGCAGCGGATGCCCTTTCAGCTGCAACCCATCACTGGGAAACACTCACATACTCTCATTCACACACATACAGTACGGACAATTTTTTAGCATACCCATTTCACCTGAAAAACATGTCTTTGGACTTGTGGGGCTGATTGACATTTTATGCCAATCAGCCTTATAATCTTAAAATGTGAGCAAAATAATTTGTTTTAGTCATCACTTTAGATATTACGCTAAAGAATAGTTCAAATACTAGTTCAGACGTCAGCTGCAGAAGTGAATGAATGGCAGAAAAAAGTAGTTCTTCGTAAAAAAGGATTTTTGGTAACACTTTATAATATCTTCACACTATGAATCATTCATTAAGCATTAGTATCCACCGAATTCATCATCTGTTAAGCATTAACTCTACATTAAAAAACGTTAGTAAGCAGTTTATGACTGCAGCTACAAATGCTGTATTCTTGACTTATAACCACATTTATAATGTGCTTAATAATTGTACTTTCATAATTTGTGACTGGTTGATTTTTTTTTTTGCATTATTTACAAACCATTTGCATTTAAGAGTATTTGGTGAGTTTTAAGACCATTCAGAATGGGTTAGTAGTAAATGAAATTAACATTTATATATCTTATTATTCAGGCATATAGTAATGGTTACTGTGTTTAAAATGCTTTATTAACTCAACTTCATGCAGTTTTGTGACCTACTCTAAAGTTAGGAGTAGTAATGCTTATAAATCCTTTATAAATGACAATTAAAGGCTTGGTATCAAATGAACAATTATCTTTGCAATCTTATCTAAAAGTTAAAAATACTGTAAAGTTTAAACATTGCTCAAAAATAGGAGTGTCAAAATATAACACAAAACTGGATAAAACAACAATGTAATAGTTTAACAATATAGTAGTATGCAATGTGTAAACTGCACACTGATTTTATATAAGATTGCAAAAATGTATTTGATCCAGTTTCTTTTGTGGATTTTGAAATGAATAGAAATGATTAAAGTAGTGAATAACTGAGCCTTTAATTGCAATTTATAAAGGATTTATAAAGCAAGGATAGTCCTCACTTTAGATTAGGTCACAAAACTGGATGAAGTTGAGTTAATAAAGCATTTATTAACATATAAATGATTAGTAAATGCCTAAATAATAAGAATTATAAATGTTATATTTCAATAGTTTAATAATCATTTACTAACTCTAATAAATTATTAAAAAACAACCAACTATTCTTAAATAACTGGTTTGTAAATAATGAAATTCATGAAAATACAATTATTAAGCACATAGTAAATGTGCTCATAAGTCAAGAATATAGCTTTTGTAGCTGTAGTTATAAACTGAGACTCTCCGTGTTTGAATTTCTTTATATGCACGATTATGTCGTCAAATCTTTGTATACCTTAGTGTTATGGCCATATATTGTCACTTGTGGGACACTAAGGCACTCGGCCTGTGTTTCTGCCATCAAAAAAAAAAAAAAAAAATATATATATATATATATATATATATATATATATATATATATATATATATATATATATTTACAACTCTTGTTTTGGTGCTGAAGTATATAGCGGACTTGTTTTAAAGCACTTCGACCCAAGGGTTATTTGTTTTTCCTTATTTCTTTAAATAATGTAGCCTAGTTGTTTTTTTAATGATTAATGAAGGAATTATAATGTTTTTTTTTCATTGTTTATCTTTATTTACCAGTAGCAGAGTTTTTACAGCTAATGTATAGGCTATTTCTGTCCCTTTGTGTCACCTGGCGGCGTAGTCGGAAAACTGTGTTCATACCTATATATATATATATATATATATATATATATATATATATATATATATATACTGCAAAATACTGGTAAAAAGATACCAACATTTGTATTAAAGTAGTCCACGATAATCAGGTAAACTAAAATATTTGAGGGTTTCATGATTGCTTAGAAAAATAGCACCTGCAAGCAAGTTTTTGTTTTGTTTCAAGTCCAAATATCTAATCATTGTTAAATCAAGCAGCATTTTCGAGAAAAGTAAAACATGTTGTCTTGTTTTCAGAAAAAGTCCAAATTAAGTCAGTTTTTCCTTAAAATAAATAAAATAATCTGCCAATGTGTTAAGCCAAAAAATCTTGTTTTCGTTTTGAAATAAGGTTAACTTATTTTGCTTATCCCATTGATTATTTTGCTTTTTTACAGGTCTAGAATGCTTCTAGATTTAAGTATTTTTAGATATTTGGATGAGAAACAAGACAAAAACTCAAATTAAGAAAAGTATTTTTTGCAGCATATAAGATCAAGTCTCTGCATGTGCTACATCAGTGTGGTTTTGTAGGCACAGAGTGGATGTGCTTGACTGGCTTTCCTGCAGAATAGGCCTGTCTGTTGAAAATATATGGCACATAATGTAAAAACAAAAAATCACACAATGATGACCACTAACTGCTGAGCTGCGTAAGTCTTATATTATGTCAGATAACTGTTAATATCAACTTCCCGATAATTAAACATTATATTTAAAACATTCCTGTTAATACTTTTTGGCAGTTGTTTACAGCTATCAAAATCAGAATTTGTATTTACAAAATACAATTTATTTGCATTCTAAAGACATTGGAAAATGTTTCTTTGTACTTTTGTCAATTAAATAAAGGTTTAAAAAAATCATATTTAACCACATTTTATAATTGACACATTTTTTTTCAAAATATTTTCTTTAAAGAAAGAAATTTTGTCAAACTGGTTTGAAACATGAGCAAATGATGACAGGACTACTTTTTATGTCAAACTATACTTTCGGTAAAGTTTCAGGATCATGAACTAGCATACATCTAAATAAAAAGCATCTCCACACTGCTGTCGAAAAAAAAAATCTTTCTTGCTTTATTACAGTGCATATTTAATTATTTATTGTTCGTACCTCCTCAAAGCAATTGTGGTCCATCCATTCTTGTCTGTATCGGTCAATTCCATCTGAACACCTGAGGGATTATTCACATATACATTCAGTTGGTGATAAAAAAACAATAATAGACATACATGAATTCTGCAAAAATGCATCACAGACATGTAGATCTAAGACTGCTACCTTTGTAGTGTGTTGCACCACCCACAGCCTGATGTGATATTTGACTGGAGACATTGCTTGCAGGTAGTGTGCTGAAGGCAGGCTAAAGGCAAGGCAAGTTTATTTATATAGCACATTTCATATACAATGGCAATTCAAAGTGCTTTACATAAACAAGAATAAAAGAAACAAGTAAAATAAAAATGAAAACAAATAATAAAAATGCGTAAAAACAAAACAAAACATAAAAACAGGTAAAATGTGATATAAAAGAATGAAGTAGAAGAGAAAAACAAAGACAGATATATCATCATAAAATAAATATAATATCTGATATCATATGAAATTAGTTTAGTTCATTATTATTTCATTTTAATTTATTGTTTTAGAGGAGAGAAAGAAGTTATTTTCTTACTCACTAGGCAATGGCGTGAACTCAAATGCTGAGTTATTGACGATCTTTGTTGTGTCAATTTCCACCCGATGGTATTCATAGATTGTCTTTTGTTTAGCATCTGTTGATGATATAATTATAAACTGTTTATCAAAATGATAACAAATAGGTTTCCATCCTAATTTTAAGTAACATTTGTAATATCCCATATGTAGGGGTATACCTCCGGGAAAATGGCAAAATAAACATTGAAAGTTGTTGCCTCAGGGTGTGCAGACAAAGCACAGTTCAATCTTAGAAGGTAATTTATCTGAATAATTTGGCGAAAGACTTAAAGATTATACATTTTTTGTTACACATCAAATAATTTGTTAGATAAATTTGTCTTGATTGCAGTTCATTTGTATATGTAGGTCTTATTAAATGAAACAATGGCTATGTTTACATGCACCTAACATATTTCTAAAGATGCTATTGGCTTGAATTTTTCAATGGATGTTGCAAACAGCTAAGGAAATCCATATATGCAAAGAAAATATGCAAAGATATATTATATATTAATAAACATTACTAAACATTTTACAACTACAGCTACTATTTGTAATAATGCTTATACTGTCTTGACTCATAAATACATGTATAATGTGATTTATTGCATTTTCAATTTTGTTGATTAACTTTTTTTTACTACATTACGTATTGCATTAATTAATAAACAGTTATTTTAAAGTAGTTGGTCATTTTTAAGATATTTCAGGACAAGTAAGGAAATTAGTAAAACTATTTAAATTAACATTTATATCTTATTATTCAGGCATACAGTTATAGTTGCTTTGTATGTTAATAAAGGGTTTAATTACAGAACTTTATCAATATTAATTTTTGTGAGGACTATTTATGCTTTGTAAATATTATTTAAATGACAATAAAAGGCTAAATTAAGATTTTTCATTACAACATCTGATAATGATTTGTTATGGAAAATATTTACTTCTATGGGTAACCATATGAGCTGACTTTTGAATTCATGAATTCAGATTGAGCTCAGATTGATCAAACTCTGACAATGTGGTTACATTAATATTTTAAATATGATTGAACCGTCATTACGGTTACGAACAGATTATTTGGGTGCATGTAAACATAGTCAATAGGGCTTCTTTGAGTGCATATTTTTTGTCCACATTTTATGTGCACCTCCAATATCTGATATCCCAAAAGGTGCATAAAATGTGTAGTTAGAAACATAGCTAGTAAAACATCCCCTGTAGATTGCATTCATTACTAATGCCATACTGACCTGAAGACTGTGGAGAAGACAGAAGGGCAATAAAGGCATCAGAAAGTCCTACTTTTACTGGATGCTCTGTCGAGTTGATTTTCTCCACAGGCAAAGGAACCTATTTAGTAAAGCCAAATATTAAAATTAAACAATAACAAAGTCATGTTTGTTCTACTTTGTAAATTTGATATGCAATATATACATTTTTCATAGAAATGGTTTGTGGTCATTTTATTTTCTGCTGCTTTGGTGACAACAACTGAGTGGAAGTGAAATTTGAAAAAGTAATAGCCCATTTGTTTATTTTAAATATTGGTTATCTGAGCCAAGTGAAACTGCTGAGGCTTACTTACATCTTTGTAGTTGAAGACAATGGTCCCATTACGACAGAGGACAGTCTGGAAAGTGAAAGCTCCTTCAGTCTCTCGATCCTTTAGCCTTACTTTATCCCACTGCACCACAAATGTATCACCTAGGGTACCAATGTCAGTTTAAATTGCAATTGAACACTACATGCAGTTTTATAAATCACTAAATCTAGTGTAGTCGACTTTCTAATTCCTAAAATATACAGAGGTAGGACAATGAAACTAAAATGCCTGGTTTAAGACCAGAATAATCAATTAGTATGAAGTAGGGCCTTCTTTTGGAACCAGTACAACATCGAGTCTTCTTGGGAGTAATAGTTACAACTCCTGCACAGGGGCCAGATGGATTATGAACCATTCTACTTGCAGAATAGTGGAAAAGTCACTACATGATGCTGGTGAAGGAAAATGTTTCCTAACTCCTTCAAAACACCCCAAAGTGGTTATATAATATTTAGTTCAGGTGACTGTGCAGGCTATGGGAAATTTTATGTTCACTTTCATTTTCATTAAACCACTCTGCCACCAGATTTGGTGTGTATATTGGTGCATTATCATCCGGATACACTGCACTGCCAGTTGTTCTCCAGAATGGTTTGGTAGTCCTTGGTAGTAACACATTCATCTAGTATTGGTTCTAGGGAATGCAATAATATTGCAGCCCAAACCATCACTGATCCATCCCAATGCTTCACTCTGGGCATGCAACAGTCTGGGTTGTAGGCTTCTTTGGGGCTCCTCCACAGCGCAACTCTATTGGATGTGGAAAAGATAGTGAAGGTGGACTCTTCAGAGAACAATACATGTTTTACATTGTCCGCAGCCCAAGATTTTTGTTGCTGGCACCATTGAAACCGCAATTTTTAGCCAGAGTGACCAAAAGGTTTGGCTGTAGCAGCCCGGCCATGTATATAGCTACTGTGGAGCTATTGACAAACAGTTTTGGCTGAAGCAGGAGAGTCGAGGTGCACATTTAATACTGCAGTAAGTTTGGCAGATGTTGTTTATGTTTTTTGGATAAAAAATCTGGGTTAGCACCTGGACATATCTTTTAGACAGCTTACTGTTGCGTCCACACTTACTCCTGTTGGATGTGGTTTGTGGTTTGTCTTTCTTGGTGGTATGCTGACATTACCCAGAATACTGGGGCTTGATACTTAAAAAAAAAAAAAAAAAAAAAAAAAAAGCTTTTCTTGGTCACAGATGCACCATCAAGATGCGCACCAACAATTTGTCCTCTTTTAAACTCTGATATGTCACCCATAATGTTGTGTGCATTGTCCTTGCCATTGTGACTGCCATTGCCACATCCAGATGGATGCGAATTGCAAATTGGCATCCTTAATTTCATCCCCTATTTAATCGCTCTTGTCTCCTTGTCTTTTGTCAGACCATCTTTGTGTGTTGTCTAAGTAACTCGCTCGAGATCCGCCCACTAAGTACGGGCATTCGTCACGCCACAAGTCTGCCACCACGTGGTCAACCTCATGAACTGTTCTGCCAGCCTGGTCTGATCCTGTCTTCATGAGCATTAAATATTGAACTTTTCATTTGCCCTTTTCCTCAGATTGAGGTGTTTTTGGTTCTTCTGAAGAAAGTTTCAGCCGCATTATTGAATCAGTGATTTCTCCTTACATCATGTGCTTAGTCATTCTGAATGATCTTTAAAACCACCAGCTAAAATAACTGGTTTGTAAATTGTGCCTGGTTTGTAAATACTTAATTGAGTAATAAAAATCAATCATTAAGAAAGTATGAAAGTACAACCATTAAGCATATTATAAATGTGCTTAAAAGTAATATAAGAATGGGTTTTACTCAGACTTAGGTCCCATTCACACTAATGCATTTTAGTTTTAAATCACCATTTTAAAATGAACTGGTGTTTCATCTAGCCTTTTTGAAAAGGTCTCTGTCCACACTATACCGCTAAAAACGTACATCACGTGACCATACATACACTCCTGTATGTGCTGAAATTTGCTAGAAGCCATAAGTCACAACATCAGGGGCCTCATGTACGAAGACTTGCGTGGAAATCTTACTAAAACATTGCGTACGCACAAAGCTGTAAATGTGCGTACGCAGAAAAAAATTCAGATGTATGAAACACTGCGTACGCAGAATCTCACGCATATTCTTTTGTACATCTGAATGAACGTGAAACTGAGCGCAACATGCACGAGCACAAAACCTGCCTCCTCCCCCGTATGAATATGCTAATGACTATGCTAATGGCAAAACCCAACGAAAAAGCAATGGCAAAAGCAAGCAAAAAGAGAAACTTTGAACAGAATGTGAATTGGAGGTGCTGCTTTCGGAGGTAGACCGGAGAAAAGCGGTGTTATTTGCAAGTTTGTTCTCCGGAATTAACAACAAAAGAAAAAAATAGAGTGGGAGAGTTTAGCTGATGCGGTTAACACAGTTGGGTCTGAACATCGCACTGAGTGCATTAAAAAAAAAGAGATAGTGTGGTTTATATCTGTAAAATGTTGCAGGATGCTTAGCAGATTCAGTGGCGCTACTCGTTAGACGCATGTGATCATGAATTGATACGTTCGAGTATGAACTCGGCTCGAATCCAGCGTCTGATGAACTCTTTCTTGTTTTTTCCCCCGCTACATATCAGATTTTGCCAACTATTTATCACGAGAAAGACAAGTAGGAATCATCAATAAGTTCATATCAATAAGCATCATATTTTATTTGCACATTTATTAAATGGAAATGTTTCTGATTCACGCATGCAAATTCATCTTCAGATAGTGTCTTAATAGCAATGTGCGTGCGGTAGATCACTCAGATTACATTGGGAAAACAGGCGACTGCTGCAAATTGTGCTTTAATGTTTAACTGGTCAACTGTATGGTATGGAAACCTTATATAGCTGCTGAACCCGTCTCATACAGCTGCCATTGCAAGGCTCAGACACTTTGTAGAGAAATTTAACACAACTGCCTCTAGGAGTCCCCAATGGAAATAAAACAGACACGCACAAAAAATGTGCGTACGCCTGCCAGAAAGCTGCGCACATTCCCACGTTCAGTTCATTGTTAGATCCAAAACGTGAGCGATTCTGAGCATGAAACCTGGCGTACGCAAAGTTTTTGTGCGTACGCAGCGTTGATACATGAGGCCCCAGGACAAATTTTATTATTTGTTTCAGTATTTTAAGAGCTAAGTCCTGCTCATCAGGATTTCTTCTGCTTGGATTTGTAATAAAAAAGGTGGTCCTGAAAGCCAGCTTTGTCATGTAGCTTGATCTGCAGGGCTTTTCTCATTGATCAGGGTGTGTAGACTTTCTGATATAAGACACCATGTTTGCCACACAAACATATAATCTCTTGGAAGTGTTGTAAATACACTAAAGACAACACATACACATTAAACAAACCCCTTCTATTTCAGGACTGACTGCACTATAGATTTTTGTTTTCTTTTAGTATCTATCCACAGGTCCACATACAGAGGTTGGACAATGAAACTGAAACTCTTGCTAATTTGATGTTGGAGGTTTCATGGCTAAATTTGACCAGCCTCATGGACAGTCTTCATTAATTCCACCAGTAAGAGCAGAGTGTGAAGGTTTAATTAACAGAGTAATAGCAGTTTTGCTTAAAATATGGCAATGCACACAACATTATGGTGATTTATCAGAGTTTAAAAGAGGACAAATTGTTGTTGTGCATCTCACTGTTGCATCTGTGATGAAGACAGAAAATCTTTGTTATGTATCTAGAGCCACGGTATCCAGGGTAAAATGTCAGCTTACCATCAAGTTCGAATCACATCCAAGGGGAGTTACTGTAAAGCACTGTAAGTGTAAACTGTGCACTAGGAACGTGGCATTAAGTGCCTCCTCTGTCATCACCTCTGTCAGTCTTAGACCGTAGACCAGACCTCCTAGACTAAAATCTGCTCTTGCCTTCTTTAAAAAAAAAAAAAAAAAGTATCTATCTTAAAGTGATAGTTCACCCAAAAATGTACATTGACTCACTATTTACTCTCCCTCAAGTGGATCCAAACATTTATGAGTTTCTTTTTTTTTCTGTTAAACACAAAATATGATATTGTGAAGAAAGCTGAAAGCCTGTAACCATTGACCTCCATAGTTTAGTTTTTCCTAATATGAAAGTTTCTCAGATCAATTTTAAATTATCATTGTATAATAAAAAAAATAATTGATGTGACTATTTTTAATATGCCAGACCCAAAATAAAATTTTAAAATATTGATTTTAACATGCAAACAACATACAAAACCTATCTTCATGCACCTGCAGTTTCCAACAGCATAGAAAAAATAAATAAATTGGCCTGCCCTAAATATTTTTCACTTAAAATTACAAATTAAGATTATTTAAAAAAAACATGACTGAATCGTTTTTAAGAACAAGCATAGGCTGTTTTTATCCAATCATTTTTTTTTCTGTCTAATAAAAAAGTAGGCAACCTCAAATTTATTGCTCTTATTGCTCCAGAGAAAATAATTAATGCTCTGCTGTAATTCTTGCATTATATAGGTTATTTTATAAATGGATCTTTTATAAGCACTTTTAATAACTGTAATTCTTTATAAGAGAACCCTCAGACTTGAGAACTTGAGTTGCTCTGCCAAAGCAGTACTGCAACTGTCTTCAGTTCCTGATTGTTCTTGGGACATTTTCCCTTTAGTTTTTTCTTTAACAAGTGAAATGCATGCTCCATCGGATTCAGGTCAAGTGGCTGACTTGGCCATTGCATAACATTCCACTTTTTTCCCTTCAACATTTCTTTGGTTGCTTTTGCAGTGTGCTTTGGGTTATTGTCCCTCTGCTCTGTGAAGCACCATAAGATGAGTTCTAAAGCATTTGGCTTAACATGAGCAGAAAATATTGCCTGAAACACTTCAGAATTCATCCTGCTGCTTTTGTCAGCAATTACAGCATCAATAAATACGAGAGAACCAGTTCCATTAACAGCCATACATGGCCACGCCAAGTCACTACTACCACAATGCTTTAGTGCTGATCATAAGTTCCCTTTCTTTTCTATACTCTTCTCTTCCCATCCCACTGTTACACGTTGATCTTAATTTTATCTGTCCATAGGATGTTTTTCCAGCACTGTGAAGACTTTTTTTAGGACTCTAATCTGGCCTTTCTGTTTTTGAGTTAACATCTTGTGGTGAACCCTCTGTATTTTCTCTGGTGAAGTTTTCTCTTAATTGTTGACATTGACAAACATACACCTAACTTCTGGTGAGTGTTCTTGATCTGGGTAACTGCTGCAAAGGGTGTTTTCTTCACCAGGGAAAAAATTCTTTGGTTGTCTACCACAGATGTTTCTATGAATTTCCAGGAGCCTCATGTACGAAGACTTGCGTTGAATTCATACTAAAACATTGCGTACGAACAAATTCAAGAGTTCACACTTAGCTGATGATTGGTAATAAGCTAGTTTGGCATGCTGTCCCGGGAGAGAGCCCCGAGCTCATGAGAGCCCGGGGCTCCCTCCCGTTGCAGGGCGAGAGGGGAGTTTGAGCTCGGGTAGATCTCGAGAACCCCCCTCCCTCCTGCTGCGTGAGGGTTGCTAAGGTGATGCGTTGCTGACAGAATTGAATCAAATTTGGTGCTTATTTGGATTAGTCAATTTACTTAGAGTCATGTTTTTGGGAGTGTGGGAGGAAACCGGAGGACCCGGGGAAAACCCACGCAAGCACGGGGAGAACATGAACTCCACACGAAAATGCTGACCGTTTGGGTAGATGCCCGAACCGGAGGCATTTTGCTGTGAGGCTGCAGTGCTAGCCACTGGGCCGCCGTGCTGCCCTGTAGACAAAGGAGGAGGCGAAGGGGTGGAAGTGGGGATTCTTCAAGACGAAGATGACTAAAGGTAAGGTGTTTGGTTATTTATACTTGGTTAGGAGTAGTCTGATTGGTGGTTCGTACATTAGCTTGACTCGGGGCCAGCCGTGTCAATCATAAGCATGTGATCCTCTCAAAATTAGTTTATGAATAAACTTCACTTCACGAAGCCAATTTACATAGCCTATGCAAATTCATCTTTAGATGGCACCTTTATAGCAATGTGCGTGCATTAGATCGCTCTGATTACATTGGGAAAACTGGCAATAGCAGCAAAGTGCGCTTTAATGTTTGGCTGATCAACTGCAGGGTATGGAAATCTTATATACCTGCTAGACATGCGGATGATCCCGTCTCATACAGCTGCCATTGCACAGCTTAAAGGTACTTTGTAGTGTGCAATTTAACACAATTGCCTCTAGGAGTCCCCAATGGAAAAAAAAAAAACACATAAGAAATGCACATCCGGCATGAAGTTGACGTGGACCAACGCACATTCTCACTTTCATTTCATCGTTAGTAAATCCAAACGTGAGCGTGAAACTAATGTACGCAAAGTTTTTGCGCGTACGCAGTGTTGATACATGAGGCCCCAGGTATTTTGGTGTTGCTAAACTCACTGGTTGCTTTTTTCTTATAAATAATGTTCCAAATAGTCGTTTTGGCCACAGCTAATGTTTTTGCGATCTCTTTTTTTTTCAGCCTAATGATGGCTTGCTTGACTGATAATGAAAGTTCTTTGGATATCATCTTGAGAGTTGACAGTAACAGATTTCAAATGCAAATAGCATACTCGAAATAAACTCTGGACATTTTATCTGCTAATTGTAATTGGGATGATGAGGAAACAACACACACCTGGCCATGAAACAGCTTAGAAGCCAATTGTCTAATTACTTTTGGTCCCATAACAAGTGGGAGGTAAACATGCAAATTGTTGTAATTTTTGCAGCATTCACCTGATTGTAAATACCCGCACATTTAAGCTGACACTCTGCAGTTAAAGCACATATTGGTAATTTAATTTCAAAGCTACTGTGTTGGTGTATAGAACCAAAATTGTTAGAACTGTGTTGATGTCTCAATTTTTATGGACCTAACTGTACAGTATGTGTCAAACTGTGATAAGGAATATCCTTCTTTTCACTCTTTTCTTTTTGCTTCTTTAGCAAAATATGTCTGTAGGCAATTGTAGTTGCACATGTTAATGCCCTGTAAGTTAACAAATATGTGTTGCATTTTTATTCAGCAAAACTTTAGATAAAAAAATAAAATAATAGTAAGCAATTAACATACCATTAATCCAGTAAAAATGAAACCTTTAGGTTAACGGTTAAATGGTCAGCATGAGCATCCTTATGACAGAACTTGTATTTTTGTGTGAACTATCCCTTTAAATTAAAGATTAAGAATATTTTTAAGAGCATTACTAAGATGTCTTAAACATAAGGGCCCGAGTGATCAGGCAAGTTTGGATATAAAAAGAGATTTCTTACAGTAAGTTAAGGTAAGCGATAAATAACCAAATAATAATAATAAAAACCTATATATTCAACATATAGAACACACCTTGAAGCTCTCTTCCCCATCACTATCTGAAACATCAGATTAGTTTTCTTCTGGTTTTGTGGCCAAAAAGGAAGTTCTGCTGCTACTAAGAAGACAATATCAGAGTTTCTGCAAATAAATTAACATGATTAATATAATTAAACTGAACTTACCATTGTCCAGATACCGCACAGTAGAGTATTTAGAATAACTTGGATCAAAGTTTGCCATGAGTGGGGCGATATATTGCGTTGCTGTCAGCATGCGATGTGTTATATCTCCAGTGAAGATAAACCCTATAAAAAAAGTATCAGACTTTAAAAGAAATTTGTCTTACAAAATAAGCCCCATCCCCTTGTTATTCTGTTTTACTTATTTATTTTTTGATAACAACATACGGCACAAATGGTTAATGTGGAAACGTAAAGCCATTTTTTTTTCTTTTCCCACTTTTTTCATTCAAAAGGTGTGCAGACATTTAAGGGGCAGAGGCACAACAATTTTAAAAATTAAAATGCATTAAAGGATATTTCACCCTATATTCACCATATACTTACCCTTAAAAGGATAGGTCATTCAAAACTGAAAATTCTGACACCAAACACTCACCATTTACAACGAGTAAAAGTTCAGTTAAAAAAGTATATAATCAATAAATATTGTATAATGTTGGTTACTAATGACCACTGACTTCCATAGTAAGAAAAAATGGAAGTCAACAGCTAACTCATATATACACATTTTATAGTTTCAAGTAACATTATATATTTTAAATAAATAACTGGAAAAAATGAGAGGGGAATATTTTCAATATTCAGCTATTGTTTGTCCATTAATTAACCTGTTTGCCTATGATATTATCCTGGCAACTTTAACCTGCAAAATTTGGCCCTATTTACACTAATACACTTTAGTTTTAAAACTAAAAATGAAAATGATCCACGTCCACACTGGCAATTCATCTAGCATAATTTAACAAATGTCTGTCCACACTATACTGCTGAAAACATGCATCACGTGACCACACACACACACACTCTGGTACACACACTCCCTTGTATGGGCACTTCTGAGCGGGTGCTTTGAGAACATCTCCTCTGGTGAGCGCAACACGTCGGACAGTTCATCAAGAAAATGTTTCTATCTGAAAATGGCTGTACACTGTCGCTTCCCATCCAACCTGATAGAGCTTGAGAGGTACTGCAAAAAGGAATGGACAAAAAAATCCAAAAGACAGGTGTGCTAAGCTTTTCACATTGTCATTATGGGGTATTGTGTGTAGAATTTTTTTGATTGAATAAATTAATTAGATTAATTTTGGAATAAGGCTGTAACATAAAAATGTGGAAAAAGTTGTGACGATTTATTTTGGATGACATCTGTTCCTTGGAAAGAAGGCGGGCTTGGCGTCATAGAGAAGAAAAGCAAGAGAGAGAAGGAAGTGGTACTGGCAGTCATGGAAGACGCACGCTGCGGTTGGATGTAGGGATGCTCATTTCGGTTAATTTTGCTAACCGACAACCGCCGCTCATTAATCTGTTATTAACGGTTAACTGGTCAGATTACTATTAATTTTATATTAAACAAATTAACATTACTATTTTGTGTCCGACAAATTAAATATTGCATTTTAAAATACTGATTTATTTTTATATGCTAGCATATTAATAATAGAACAATACAACAGAGCATTTTCACGCAACTGCAGTGTTTAACACAGAAGAACAGAATAACCTAAATAAAATAAATAGGACTGCCCTAAATTATTTTCACTTAAATAATTAATTTATATTACAAAATGAAAATACTGACAGATTCTTTTTAATAACCGGCATAGGCTGTTTTTTTCCAATTTTTTTCTTCTATCAAATAAAAATAGCTGATTTCCTCATTGCCCGCTCCACAGAAAATATGCATTTATTTAATGCCCCGCTGTTATTATTATAATCACAAAACCTTTTTACATTTTTAATAGAAATCATTACTTTAAAGAATATGTCTTGATGGTTTCCTTTCTCTCCCTCGCGGTTCAAGTGCGCGCTGCGTGATAAAAAGACAACATTGCGCACATATGTTGACTTTTTGTAAACAGTTTTGTTGTTTAAATATGATATTGCATTAATGTGCATACATGCTTTATAAGCTGTAATATAAAAGGTAAAGCCAATTTGTTGCGTTTATGACGCAGATCCAGGTCAACATCAACGCTTTTTTTGGCATCAACACGTCTGTTTCAAACAGCAATATTCTTCTTCCATTTTGCTTCTTTGGCAAATGTGTCTGTAGCCACGGGTTATACGTTATCGTCCCGCAAAGTTAAGTATGTCTTTTAGTAAAACAAGTGGCCGACCACAGCTAACGTGCTTTTTTTCATTCCAAAAACGTGAGGCACACCTGCCTTTATATGTTGACAAGGAAAAAAGAAGAGGAGAGCGTGGTCCTCTTATAAAACGACTGAATCAGCTGGGTATTGATTGTGCAAAAGTGTTGCTGTCTATGTTGTTACAATTGTAATATTTAATAATATTGTGATATTCAGCATTTGTACATTCATCCAGCTCTGGATAACTTAAAACAGCGATTAGACCTTCAGAGCGGCAATAATGCATCCTAAAGTAAAGCGAAACGGCTATAACTCCAACAAGATAGAGTGATTACAGAGATATGCAGAGTCATACTTTATTTTTAAATAAAGTATAACTATAGAAACTGTGTTCATCTTAACTGAAAGCTTCTGCGTGTTTGCTGGGCTCACGCATCGCGCACCTGTCAGTCAGTCAGTCAGCACGTAACCCCAAAGGATTAAACACGCACAGCACAATACGGTTACAGAAAAGTTTGCGCTGTTATAATCCACTTACCTTTTAATACAATTTGGTGCGATTATAATCCGCTAATAAAAACAACAACAACAATAACTGAATGTTTTGAATGTGAATGTAGCTGTGGCTGGATGCATTTTGTTCCCCGCCATGGAAGAATGAATGTAGCGGAAACCAAGCTCTATAAAAGTTCTCTGTAGTTGTCTTGACAACACAAACTGCTGCTCTGGGATGAGCCGCGTGCAAAAGATGCCCCTCTTAACGCAAAGGCGCATTCAATCGGCCCCTTATGCAGTCAAACTAAAAATATATAAAATAATAATTTTAATCATTTAACTGATAGCATTAATCGGTCACAAACGCACCCATTCGGTTAACGGTTAATCGATTATTTTGAGCATCCCTAGTTGGTTGTTCATCATGCTTTCATCAGCCAGCGTTGTTTAAACCCGGTAGAGATGGCAAGAAGCGAATGAACTGAAGCGAGAACCGAAAAGCATCTACTGCATTTTAGCGTGTCAACTGAAGTGAGAACCAAAAAGCATCTGCTGCATTTCAGCGTGTCAACTGAAGTGAGAACTGAAAAGCATCTACTGCATTTCAGCGAGTCCACTGAAGAGAGAACCAAAAAGCATCTGCTGCATTTCAGCGTGTCAACTGAAGTGAGAACTGAAAAGCATCTACTGCATTTCAGCGTGTCAACTTAAGTGAGAACCGAAAAGCATCTACTGCATTTCAGCGTGTCAACTGAAGTGAGAACCAAAAAACATCTACTGCATTTCAGCGCATTGATTCTGATTTACACTTTCGGTTTTTATTTTCTACTGGGACTTGTGAACTGGGTTATAATTGAACTATTTTTGACCATTTTGAGTTTGTTTCGGATTTATGCCTTCCTGAACCATTTGTTGGGTTTTGCATTGATGTGTTTCTTTGTTGTTGTATTGCTGATTTTCGAACATGATTGATAGTTATGAAAGAGTGTTTTGAGTGTTTTTTCCCCTTTATGATCACAACTTGTGGGTCTGTATGTGAACAGAAGTTTAACAGACCTTTATAAGGTTTCCTGCTTATATTTTTTGTTTGAATTATTTGACAGTGACAGTGTCTGTGCAACCCAGTATTATTAAGTAAGTAAAGGGAATGTTACAAAGTGAAGCACTATAAATACTTTCCACTGTAGCATGTTACTGTCACAGAGGTCAGCTAGTAGTTATGCTTGTTTCACATATACTGTAGGCAATTTCGTCTCCAGTGTGTATATGCAGCAATTGAAATTTTTGCTTTCAGCAGTGATTTGAGCAGTGCCATTAAACAAGACAGCAAAACAGCAAGTCTTTATGTATCCTCCAAAAGGAGGCCTGACATCATACTAATGAATTACTGTGATCTATAAGTAGGCCTTTCAGGAAAAAAAAACTATTTAAAAAATGCAGGGGGAAATTGATAAAGAGTGAACTGCAGCTGGAGTCAGTGCTTCACGAAGCACTATGCACAGACTTATGCAAGACAAGGGTTTCCGCAGTCGCACTGCTTGTGTCAAGCCACTCTTAAACAACAGACAGCATCATAAGCGTCTTGTCTGGGTTGAAGAACTGTTACTGAGTGGTCTAAAGTTATGTTCTCTGATGAAAGTAAATTTTGCATCTTCTTTGGAAATCAGGGTCCCAGAGTTTGGAGAAAGAGAGAACAGAAACACAGTCCACGCTGCTTGAGGTCTAGTGTAGTTTTCACAGTCAGTGATGGTTTGGGGTGCCATTTCATCTGCTGGTGTTGCTTTGCTGTTTTTTATGAGGTCCAAGGCAAACACCCCATATACCAGGACATTTTAGAGCATTTCATGCTTCCTTCTGCTGACCAACTTCATGGAGATGCAGAATTTATTTTCCAACAGGACTTGGCACCTACACACAGTGCCACCACTAGCAGTACCTGGTTTAATGACCATGGTATCCCTGTTCTTAAATGGCCAACAAGCTCGCCCGACCTTAACCCAACAGAAAATCTATGGGGTATTGTAAAGAGGAAGATGGGATATGCCAGACCCAATAATGCAGAAGAGCTGAGGGGCACTATTAGAGCAAACTGGGCTCTTATAACACCTGAGCAGTAGGAGAATTATTTTTCTAATTACCAAATTAGATATAATAATGTTTAACATCCGGTGTGCATTAAGGGATGGGGCAAGTGGAAGACTTAATTTAATATGCCTCTTGGCCAATTTGAATAACAGGTTATTCCGTTCGGACTGGTCAATACCCCTGCTGTATTCCAGACCCTCATTAAAAATGTTCTAATGCTGCGTTCACACTAGACACGGAAGAAGCGTCAAGCGCAAGTGATTTACATGTAGAGTGAATACAAAGACGCGATTACACATCCTGTGGCACAAATTACGTTATTCGCATGAATGAAGCGGCACGAGTTGAGCAGCACCAGTTGAGCGTTCAGCAAATTTTGAACTTCAGCGGACAAAATGTTCATGCATCTATTTATGCATGAATAGCACGTCTGGTGTGAACACAACAGAGACATGCTAAACTTTTTTATATTTGTATATTTAGATGATATCTCTCAATGAGTAGAGAGTACACTAAGGGTTTTGTGCAGTGTTTGTTTTCTAGCTTTTTGTATAGTTCCTGTCTGATCATGCTCTCTCACATGCCTGTTATCAAATTATCTTGCTATGCTGTTTTGATTAACCTACAAATCAACAAATTTCTAATTTAGTGTCATTTACAATTAAATCTTTACTTATCAAGAATTTTTTTTTTTTTTACAATTCTTTACCATTATCCTTCTCAAGCTCTTCAATGTTTAGATTGCAGCTCAGCCAAAATGTTTGGCCAGTGGAGAACTGGTCATACCAGTCGAGCCTGTTTTCTTCAAAGGTTTGTTCTTCCCTTCCATTAATTTGTGGAGTTTTGGATCCTTGCCTCTAGCTTGCTTGGTTGAGGCTGGAGAAGATGTGGTTTTGCGGAGCAGTTCTTCAGAGTATCGGCCTTCAATTTTGACATTTGTATTAAACTTAACTTTAGCAGTGACATTTGTACTAAACTGAAATCAATCAGATTCAATTTAACTAGAACTACACCAGACATAACACTTTTTGAATAGTATACTGTTCTTTGTGCTTATTTTAATTCCATACTAATTATATTATTGACCAACAATATTGTGTTTAGAGTGCGCTTTTTTCCACAAACACGAACCCCAGCCATAATTAAAATATAAACTTATTCAGACAAATCCAGCTAAAGGGCAGAAAGGAGCAAATCATAACCCTTTTTCAGAGATCATAATAAATGATAAAACAACCACCACATTCTGAAAATAAGCAGAAATTAAGCCACTGGTTTAGAGTGAGATTTGGTCCTTAAACATAATACATAATATCTCCTATCAAAGCATATCACCTTCTCTCTTGTTGCATACAAGGATGCAATCAGTTCAAAAATAAAATGTCTTCATTAGTGTTTTTGCATTACATGCAAGGTAGGAATCCAAATCCCAGAGTCAGGGTGGTCAGTCATCCTTCTATGCCAAATTCTTTCCTTCACCAGAGTTAACCAGTACTTCAGAACTAGAAAATCCAGACTCTGATTATTCACTCAGCTGCAGGCATTACACACACCATATATATAGTGTACCATTTAAAATGAGTTATGTCATTTTTGTACACTTTTCATTGTTATTCTGTCTTTGCTCTGCCATGTTTTGTGTCTCTTGGATTATCAATTGTTGCAATTGTTTGCCTAAAATGTAATGTTTGTGTGACTAAATCAAGACATGACCTTAAAACTTTTACTTTAAATTAAAACTAAAAAAAAAACAAAAAAAAAAAACTTAACATGTCTCAGGCTTGATCAACATAAAAAATTACTCTTCTAGTTTAATAACTGTAAAGTTTCAAGTTTACTTAATTTATATGGCACATATAACAGCCACAAGACTGACAAATGTGTTTTTCAACATTATAAAAGCAAGATACAAAAGGAGAGATAAAAAAGAAAAAGAAAAATATAAACAGATAAGAAATGAAAATATAATATAATTAACTGGTGTAATCAAGTTAATTAGTTTCACATGAGTCATAGGGGTCTTAATGATACTTCCTCTCCCAGAATGTATAAAAGTGGAACTTTGCATTATTGTGATTGTAATTGTGTTCTTTTAGTTGCATATTCTGTGAGACATTTTGTTTTTTGATATTGTTTGCTATCAGCCAATTGTTGCATTGCTGATCATGATTTCGGTGATCGATAGATCTGTCCTTTACAACACACGCAGCGATCTCAGATCAGTTCATCCAGACATTTTAATCTGATTCGCAATCTTGTTTGAGGAACCAAATGAGGCAGAAATCAGTTTTCAAGATTAACAGACCCAGGATTGGCCAAATCCTTTTAGATCATTTAAGCGAGGTACGAAGAACGAACCCCAATGTGGTGTGGTGCTGTACCTTCAGTCACTGAGTGCTACGATTTGATGGTTGACCTAACGGTGTGCTGTGTGTTTGTAGTGAGATTTCTGCACCTGATAAAACAGGTATGGGATTAAGTCATCGATTAACTCCCTCATTGAACCCTGCTTTTCTGATGTGTGAGAATTGCATTCACTTTTACACCACACCGCTTTTTTTAAACTGGAATTTTATTATTGAAATAAAGTTTTGCATTTTTGATATCCATGTCTTGGACCCTTCTAACACTAATGAACCTGTGTTCCCATTTTACAAATTTAGTTTCCTGGCAACAGGGTGGCCTACCTTGCATGGTAAGATTTTATAAACCAATTTCTGTATGATTCCACCACTAAAACAAACTAAATCCTTGTTTCAGTTGTGAAAAAGTGTGCTCGCTGGGTGGCAAATTCAGTGTTAAAATGGGAATTTGAATTGTATTTTGATCTTTGGATTCACTTAATCTTGAAAAGCGTAGTGCATAATCTCTGAGAAACACGCCTGAAGAAAAAAAAACACCAAACCAAACTATTTTGTGAATATTTACTAGCTGTTTGCTTTTTGTAAATGGCGAAAAGGTGTTAGTACAAATCTCTGGCTGTAATCAATCAGAAAAAAATATTTTATAGAAAGAGAAATCAAAAGTAACACTGACATTGTGATAAAAAAAAAAAAAAACTACTGAGAAATGAGTCCAAGAGCAAAATCTCTTATCATTTGTTAGATGAGTGAAACATAAACAAATAACAACTGATCCAATTCAAGAAACATTTTTTTAGCTGTATTTTTATACTACGGCCAACGAAATATAGTGTGACATGTTTTAGACCAGTGATCACCAAACTTGTTCCTGGAGGGCCAGTGTCCTGCAGATTTTAGCTCCAACCCTAATCAAACACACCTGAACGAGCCAATCAAGGTCTTACTAGGTATACTTGAAACATCCAGGCAGGTGTGTTGAGGAGAGTTGGTGCTAAACCCTGCAGGGACACCGGCCCTCCAGGAACGAGATTGGTGACCCCTGTTTTAGACGGTTTGATAAACAAGAAAAAGGAAACGTTTACCTCCAGTTGCTATGGTGATTTGTCTCACTTGGTGTCCATAGAAAGGGAAGTCAAAGGTTAGTGCCACTCGCTAATGAAGAGACCAGGAGGATGTTTAAGAAAAAAACAAGAGTAGGAGAGAAAAACAAGAAATGTAGGCAGTGAGTTAAAATGGCAAGAACAAAACAAAACAAACAAACAATCTAAACATAAATGCATCTTTTTTGTTTTTGGACCATTTTCACAAGCTCAACATTAATTATTACTTCTATTAATAACAATAATAATAATAATAACAACAACAACAATGAGTGTAAATAATAAATATTAGTGTGCCATGGCTTTTATTTTAAAATGTAATTTCACCACAATCACCTGGGATAGTATTTACACATGCTATGAAGTTTACCACAGATGCGCAGCTGTACACTTTACGGTTTCTGTGTGTTTCACAATTCTTTAACAAGATTAATGCTGCTTTAGGGTTTTTGCATTGAGCAATCTAACTGCCTGACACCTGATTGAGAATTAAAAGTTATCTCAAAGTTCCTGTCTCAAAGTTCATGTATTGTAAAAGAGACTTTTTTTATCTCAATGTGTCTTTCCAGGTAAAATAAAGGTTATAATAATATTAATAATAATTATTGTAATAATCATTGACACTGATAAAATAAAAATAACATTTAAATTAATTTTACTAATTCAATGGCAGTTTCATTCAGTGAACATAGCTTTATGTGCAATGCAGCCATGTATGTCAGGTCAAAAACTATGACCTGCGTAGTGCAACCATGAACCTAAATGATTTTAGCAAATGGCTGCAATATAACAAAGAGTGAAAAATTTAAGGGGGTCTAAATACTTTCCGTATTGTCCGTAAGAGCACTGTATTATCACAAACGGAAAAGTCATCTCATCACATTGTTGTTCTTTCCTCAGTGGTACCTGATAAGAATACTCATTTATGCTTATTAGGAACATTTTTAAGCTCTTTATTTATCCATAATTTGTCATTTGGAAACAGAGTCTTTTATAAGTTCGATCGACTCAACACAAAAATGAATATAATTAGAAACAAGAACCTGATCATTCAAATCCAAGCTATCACAAATGCCAGTTTGTAAAGTCAAAACAGCTTTGCAGCTTGTTATTACTTGCATTAGTCCAGTTTGTGAAAGTAATTTTTTCTGTCTTTCAACATGCTGTAAAACTGTAAGGAGAAAAATTGCTTTATGGTCATGACCCAAGTGTGAAAAAAATGTGACGTAAACTCGGGCCATCGGGGGAATAGAGACAATTGCATTCTGGCTTGTACATATATTCAGAGTTAATTGATTACTAGTTTTGCTTGTCTTTTTTATATCAGGGTTTAAATATCTGAATGTTGCTTTCTTAGTAATACATCATATGGAAGTTGAGTGGAAATGCTCAAGCAGTGCATTATCAAAAGAACCATTTATTGCTCCCATATTGAATATTTTAAGATAGGTAGAAATGTTAAAAATGTGTCTTCTTGTTTTAGAGCAGGGGTATCAAACTCAATTTCTAGACGGCCACTGCCCTGCATAGCTCACTTCCAGCCATGCTTTAACACACTCAAATGTAGGTAATAAACAAGCCAAAAGCACTCAAATAGTTTGATCAGGTGTGTTTAATTAGGGTTGGATCTAAACTGTGCAAAGTCGCGGCTGCCCCAGGAACTCCAGGACTTTGACACCAGTGTTTTAGAGCAGTATGTTTAAACTAAGTCCTGGAGGGCCGGTGTCTAGCAGATTTTAGCTGCAACTTGCCTCAACACACCTGCAAGGATATTTCTAGAAAGCCTAGTAAGAGCTTGATTAGCTAACCCAGATGTGTCTAATTGGGGTTGGAACTAAACTTTGCAGGACACCGGCCCTCCAGGGCCAAGTTTGGACACAACTGTTTTAGAGTGTTTACGAAACTGAATTACAGTACATGAAATCACCTAAATCACATGTAGGCTACTATGAGTATGTATTTCTTCACATTTTCAATTTACACAAATGTATAAATGTGAGCTACCGCTACAATGAACTGCATAAATAAAAACAAACATCTTTTACAATACTATCTTAATATACTACCCTGACTATTTACCAAAAAATTAGGTTCTCCATTGGTACATTTGCTAAATTACAATGATCAATAAGAGAAATGAAAGAATGAGCATTTAATGTTTAAATGTGAAACTGCACATTTAAATTCTGCGTAGCTGGGTGTTTTAGATGTCACTGGCCCACAAGCCATACAAAAAATAAATAAATAAATAAATAAATCCACTCTGTCAAAACTCAAATATCCGGCTTAACAAGCTTGTAGTAAGACCAAGCAAACATGGAAAAAATATATATAAATTGCACATTTCTTTGAAGTTGATTATAGACAAAGCTTTGTTTTCAGTTACAAAATTATATTAATTTTTCTGTAGATTATATACTTCTTGCATCTCAGCATGCTCTATGTGAAAGCTTCTTGAGCTCATTGAAAAACCTTCCATTTTAAGACACTAAGGCCCAATCTCAATTCTATTTTTGTACCCCAAACCCCTTCCCTTGGCCTTTACAACCGAAGGTTAAGGGAAAGGGCTTTAAAATTTACCCCTAAAATTGGGACAGCACCTGCACACGTCATTATATGTCATCCTATCTCTTGCTTCATATGAGATCAGACGATGGCGACTGCTGTAGTTATTCCAGTTGTGCTATTTTTTGGTATTTATCTTCAGAACATCACTGAAGACATATATTATGTTATCATAATGCTCTAATGAGGCAATAAGATCATAACTATACTGCGCATTTACAAAGTGGCCATATTCATCTATGCAAACACACAAAAACAACACTAACATTATAGAAGACACTGTAAAAAAATCATTCCCAGTCCCTAGACTTTTCTGACAGGGTATTCGAGTTTCATCGAGTGTCAGAATGTTGTGGGACTGCTATACAGGAGTTATGATTATGAATTATAGATTGTGAAATTTAGAGGGTTTTTTTGTGTTTTTTTATTTTATTTTATTTTAAGTATGACGGTAAAACACAAACGCGGTTATGAATACATTGAAACACATGTTTGTTTGTCGTAAAAATTCATAATACAGACAAAAAAATACTAATTTGTGGATCTCCTTACTTCTTGGGTTCAGCAATACTGCCGTTGTGGCTGGTGTAGTCTGGGAAATTTTCTTACCCCTTGGTTTTGAGTGTAGTCCTGAAAAATCTTCTTTCAAAGGGCTATTCACCCCTTCCCCTTAGCCCTATGCCTTCAAGGTAAAGAGAATTGGCACACCCTGACCCCTTGACGCGAACGCTCAAAACGAGGGGTAGGGATAAGGGGAAGGGCTAAGGAGTAGAATTGGGATTGGGCCTAAGGGCCTACTCACACTATGCCATCCGTACCGTGCCCAGGCCCGTTTCCCGGATCGTTTGAGAAGTGTGAGTGCGCTGAATCGGGCTCAAGCACGGTTCACTTGGCCGGCCCTGGCCCGGTTGGAAGAGGTGTGCCTGAGCACGGATCACTTGGGCTTTCGCGCGGTACGCTTGTGTGTGAGTGCAAAACGCGCCAAAGCCTGAAACCGAAAGCGAGACGTGTCTTTTAAGGGGCTGTTTCATATGGATTTATTAATCATTCTTACTGTTCAGTGATCGCAAACTGCCGTAGTTTATTAAAGACGCAAACTCCTCACAGCACGCCAGCTGCGCGCCTTCAGCAGACCTCCTCATTCCTGCAGCACGAGAGCTTTATGACTGTTTATGAGCGCCAAAAGTGGCGGATCTGTTCAGCGAAATATCTGACTGCGTGTCCCCGCATCCCTAAGGACTGTTTGGCGAAATATTTGACGGCATATCAAACGACTGAAACGATATAACTAGAGAAATCTCCACTGTGCTACTGGGTGAGAGCGTATGGCAAGCCGTTTTAGCATTTAAACCTTGTTCTGACTATCCATAAATATATTTAGAGATATCTCTAATTATATTTTGACTAGTCATAATTATAATTCGACTAGTCAGAATGACAATTAGAGATATCTGCAATTACAATTGTACTAGTACGAAATCAGATTGGCGATATCTGCAAATAGGCTATATTATGACTAGTCATTCCTCCATTGACTTCCATTGAAAAATATTTGCAGATATCTCTAACTAAGTTTTGACTCGTCAAAAATCCAACTCAAGATATCTACAACTGTAATTCGACTATTAGTAAATTAATTAGAGATATCTTCAAATATATTTGTAAATATCTCTAAATATGATGAATTAAAGACATCTCCAAATGTATTATGACTAGTAAAAACTCAGTTAGAGATATCTCTAATTACAATTGTGACGAGTCAAAACTCCTTTAGAGATATCTGCAAATATTTTTCAATAGAAGTCAATAGAGGAATATGACTAGTCATAATATATTTGCAGATATCTCCAATCTGATTTCGTACTAGTACAATTGCAATTGCAGATATCTTTAATTTTTATTCTGACTAGTCGAATTATAATTATTACTAGTCAAAATATAATTAAAGATATCTCTAAATATATTTATGGAGTCAGAACAAAGATTTAAATGCTAAAAAGGCTTGCCATAGAGTGCGCTTCTGAACAGCGCAGCAGCGATGACGTAAGCGTGCCAAGGCCCGATATGGTGTGAGCGCGGGCCGTCGGGGGAGACGGGAGCAAGCATGCTTTGGCCCGGTTCGAGGCAACTGTACCTAGTGTGAGTACGGCCTAAGTGTGCTCTCTCCATACCTTCAAGGCTTGTGTTCTGAGCCCCCTGTTCTAAAGTTTTTACACCCATGACTACCCCGCTCACCATAGCAACACCACTGTTAAATTTGTGTACGACACTATGGTGTTGTGACATTTCACAGGGGGATTTTCATCAGTGGGGCCTGTGTTGAGCAAGGGTAACTAACTTTCAGTTTTTGGAGTCCAGATAGAGAAGGGCTGACTTGGAGACTTGAAAAGGCCCAGCAGAGACACTGCTTCTTTAGGGAACTGAAGAAGAAGATTACTCACAAACTAATGATGTCCTAACAATGCTTCATAGAGAGTATCTTAAGCTACTGCATTGGCATATGAGAGCATAGGGACAACATGTGTACGGCAGTTTGTCTCGTCAGCTGGTTGTACACAAAGATGGCGAACTACTCAAGTTAAGAAACCAGTGTTAATTATTCTACTTCTTTTATCAGGTAACAATCACCCATGAATCCAGGTCCTGAACTGCTACAAATTGAAAATCCAGATTATCTAAAAATAAGTAGTGGGCTATGTATCATCCAACAAAATGTGGGAAGTTTAGTTAATAAAATTGATGATGTTCGCGTCTGGGCAATTTCAACTGATTGTGACATCACAGTTACATCAGAAACACGGCTGAAATCATCAATTGCAAACAAAATGATCACATTGATGGGCATGTTAATAGGACAGATCATGTTAGAAAAGAGGGCAAAATAGCAATGTATGTTAAAGTGGTATTCTGTTGTACCTGGATGGAGTCAATCAGCAAGCCAATATTTTTTAAACTGGTGGTAATTATGATTTTTTTTCCAGCAGTATGGATCTCATGGTAATGGACTTGCATGCAAATCATAGTTGACTCTTCATCAGGAAGATTGATGGAAGGTGATTTTATGGCTGATATGATAATATAGATGATATGATTTTAAGGTGAGTCAAGAAATGACTCCTGAAAAAAACCTGTCTATGAACTGTAATGAAACCAGAACAGATGTGAACACAATATGCAGGAGTTTCATTACAATTTCAGACGATACCGAATATATTAAAGGCTAATTAAGACATCACATTATTGTTGTAAGTGGCATTAATGAGTCTCCTAGAGAAGTGATGTCTGAATCTGAAAAAAAGTGAGAAAACTGCAACTTGACCACCGGAATATAGAGTTGGATTGGGCTCTCAGAGTTGGGTAATCCATGGCATCAGTAGAGAAGCCACAACCGATTGTTTAATTTTTGTGGCTAAAAGACAAACTTGCAGTACTATAACGCAAACTACTTGAAGGGTTATGGCATCTTTATTACTGAAGACTTCTCTGAATGCATCCGGCAAAGAAGGAGAAAACTACTTGCAGCAATGAAGCCAGCTCAGGAAGGAAGCCATATTGCATATTTAACATATGACAAATAGTGCATCCACCAGTTCACAATCTATCAAAACCAAGGAAGGCAAGGGTTCAGAGTTTAACTCAATACACTTATTATCAGCTATACACTATTTTTAATAATTACATCAGTTTTATTGTAGTACTTTTTAGAATTTTTTTTTATTTTTTAAGAGGGTTTTTACTGTGGCAAGCATAAGGCGCAGCTGTGTAAAAATCATGCTGTCAAATCATCATCCTAATATGCCACTGTGAGGTGGGTGGATTATCTCAGCAAAAGAGATGTGCTCACTAACACATATTCAGACAAAGTGAACAATATTTGAGAAAAGACCTTTTGTGTACATAATGTTTTGGAGCTTTGAGCTCAGCTCGTGAAAAATAGGGAAAAAAAACAAAGTGCTGTATTTATATTTTAGTTCATATTTCTCAAGTCAACATAATCCAGATTAATAAATTTTGTTTTATTGGCCCATGTTAGCTAAGTACATATTTCAGCAAGAATACAAGACAATGTATGGTTGTCTCACCGATGCTTGTCGGTGTGTGCTAGATAAGATAGAATGCACTCTGACAGGTCCTAGATGCACTGAATCAAGATCCATCCAAAGATTCTTTGTTCGATTTTCACCAGGACCAAAACTGCACCAGGAGTAGTACCTCTGAGAGTCTTCCTAAAAGAAAAATAAAGACATTATGTGAATGATGTATTAAGCCATAAAAATATCAGGGATGATCAAAGAAAAATATTCAGAAAAAAACAAAGAAGAATTCAATAGAAAGAAAGAAAAGTTCCAGAATCGGTATCGGACATTACTTTTCTATTAAAGTGTTATTGCAGGGGTATTTCTGTTCGTGGTAATGGCAGATTTTGAAATCCTATTAAAAGGACCTGTGATGTCTGTGTTACTTTGAACAGTTTAATACTGCTTAGACATTGCATACAGGGTAATCCCAACAAATTTGTAAACTATGAATTCATTTCAAATCTGTATTTTCTATTAAAGGTTCTACAAAAAGTACAAAGAAAAATATCTCCTTAGATAGAAACTATATATGTCAGGAATTTCAATCAAGACTTAAAATATGTCATATAACTTAAACAGCACTCATCAAAGATACAAATTACTAATGACTACACAGCAAAAATCCCTGGTGTTAAATTTTCAAGGTTGGTGCAAAATCAACAGTATTAGCATTATTTAACACTACATGGTAATTAAAAACACTGCTGTTGTTATTTGAAAGTGTGAAACATAAGTGTATTTTCAAATATTTAAAGGCCACACCTCCATTAACAGTCAGACGGCATGTTGCGGTCCACCTTTTTCGTTTACTCAAAGGCAAAGAAGTAGGTAAATCAGATTTATAATTATGACACAGTTCACCTGAATTAAATGTTTATTTTTTAAATTGGACACTAGTGGGAAAAACCCATTTGATCTTTTTTTTCTCATTATGATAAATCCAGGCAACATTGTAAATGTAATGTAATGTACTTGTAAATGTAAATTTGATACCTTGTGAAGTCATGGACACAATGTCTAGGCCAGGGACTGAAAATGTTATTATCATACATACACATGATATTAAACATGCATTTTCAAATTTTAAAAACCCACGCCTCAGACCACGTCTTTGTTTACAATTTTAGGAATCAAATGTTTATTTCTATAAACACAGAACTCTACACATGATATGGACTTCAGGACTTCGGTCTTGTTAAATCTTGTATTGGTGGTGAAGTCCAGATACCAGTCCTATCTTGTCTTGTACGTTGTCCTGGGCTAGAGTATCTACTGGGCACTCGTATCTTGTGTTTTTGTCTCCATCTTTGTATGAGCGCGGTCTTGGCTGTGGCAGAGTGTGGCTGTTTACACACAACCATGTGATGATATATTGTGTGATGTTATCTAGTCCCATTTCATGGTCTTTGTTAGTCTGATGTCTTGTCCCTGCCACCTTGTTTTCCTATTATTTATCATAATGTTTACCTGCCCTCTTGTCAAGTTAATGGTTTGCTTTTCCTATTTATTCTCCCAGTGTGGTCTGTCCTGTGCTGGTCTGTTGCCTTTTGTTAATCTGTCAAGAAGCCAAGTTGAGTCGTATCATGTTAAATTGTCATGTCATTTCAGTTAATGTATTAACTGTTTTTCCCAACCTCCACTGGGTTGTATAAATTGATTTTTGTTTCTTTTACCTGGACTAAAATTCTTGGTTTTTACATTTGGAACCTTGCCTCTTCTTCTTCACCCCAAAACCTGACACAAGAGGTAAAACATGAACACCTTAGATCACTTTGTTCCCAGGTTATGTTTAATATGAACCACCCTGCTATTAATTTGTTAATGTTACCTCATGAAGTCACATACACAAATTTTAAGTTCTAATAAACTGTAGATTCTTAAAACAATTGTAAATATTGGTCAGGGCATTTAACATTAGAATGTGCCCTTCGACCTAACACAATTGCTGTCTTTTCCACTTTAAACTGCTCAGTTGTTCATGAGCTAAAGCAGGTCAGTGTTATGACAAATAATGTTGAGTTATACCATTATTTATCACAAATGGTTGGAGAATTTGTAGGAAATTAAAATCTATTTAAAAAAGAAAATTGTGAAATATGGGTCTATGGGTAAAACTACTGTATCATGATGCATAAATTGGCAGGTGCACACCAGACTTAATATTGAAATAACATAGTCATTTTTAAAGGCTCTAGGTTGTCCCTGAATTCAAATCTATTTATGGACTTTTTAAAGGCTATATTTCTAGCCTCATTCTGCACAGAATAAATGTTTTACTTGTCATGTTCAGATTTTTGTTATAATTCAACCATAAGTGCCATGTGAAGTGAACTCTAGTGTTCTCTAACTTTGTGTGTAAAGACGAGATGTGCAGGTCATAAATTTGCAGATGCTTTTGCACATGTACTGCGAGACATGCCCTCTCATGCTGCGTTCACACCAGACGCGGAACGTGCAGATAGATCGCGCTATTCGCAGGTAAAAAGCCTCTTGAACATTTGAGCTTACCCGCTTCATTCGGCGCCCCCAGAGCCATAAGACTTCCCAGTTCCGCCAGAGGTGTGTGACTTCCCATAGTCTAAGTGCCTCCTGAACCAGAGCTTCCAGACCCACTGAGGATGTCTGAACTGCCAGTGCTTCCCAAACCAGAGCCTCCTGACCCACTGGGGTCATATGAACTGCCAGTACTTCCTGAATTGTCTGTACAGTAATTTTTTGCTGAACCAAAGCCTCCTTACCCACTGGGGTTGTGTGAACTCCCAGTGCCTCTTGAACCAAAGCCTCCTGACCCTCTAGGATTGTCTAAACTGTCAGTGCCTCCTGATTCACTGGCGTTGTCTAAACCCCCAGTGCCTCATGAACGTACTTTGTCTCTCCTATAAGGCTTTTCTAGAATTATGCATCTTAAATAATGAACTCGCAAAAGATATGTGAAGATTTCATATTACTTTTTCATGCTTATAACCCGAAAATAGATGAGTCAGATTTTATTTTAGAGAGCAGGCATAAGGTTCAGCTTTGTCTTCTTAATTTACTGTCTGATTCAGGCTCAAACTGATACGGCTAACAGTAACACTGACTAACAGTAGTTACACAACTAGCGCATGCTAGAAGAAGTGTGTCACTTCCTGGTCAAGTTGAGCAGAACCGCAAATCACAGCACATTATGTTAGCTGAAATATGATAGTCATTTTTATGTTAACTGAGTAGCAGTATATAATTAAAGTAAGATATGTGAATAAATAACAGGATATTTTTTTTTTTGTTTCAAATGAAACATGAGGACAGACTGTTTTGCACCCCATAAACACAATCAAGCCTTAAAAATACACGCTGGACCCTGTCCAGTCACTGTCATCAATAAATGTCCCAGCTTTTTATCTGCTCAGACTTATTTCTAGGTGGGCCTATAAAAATTGCTGCACACTCAACTGAGGAAACTCCTGTATTTTTAAATCAATCAGAGGATGACTGACTATTGGCAAAATTGTTTTCAGATAAGTGTGCCATATGCATCAGAGGTTTAGCCACAGGTCTGTGGGCTGTGCTTATCATGACCTCTGAGGCTAAGACTAAACTTCATGCAACCGTCTGTTTTTTTTTTTTTTTTTTTTAACTTTGCCTGTCTGACTATCCTAATAAAAGCTGCATTCTGGATCTGACCCTTTGTTGTCACCTCCACTTATTTCAGATATATCCCCCTTTCCTCATAAAATAATTAACAAATAAGTGCCGGATCTGGTAAAATGTGAAAGCCCCTTTCCCTTCAAACTCTATCTGAGTGTGAGGATAACTGGCCTGATCATGACGATCACTGACAGACAGTGGTGAAAAGAGTACTGAAAAATCATACTCAAATAAAAGTACCATTACTTACCTAAAAATGTAGTGCAAGTAGAGTAAAAGTATCTGTTGTAAATATTACTCAAAGTATGAGTAAAAAGTAGCCCTTTCAAAAGTGCTCAAGAGTAGTGAGTATTACGACGTGAAAAGCTGATGCGTTTACATGTAATTTGTGGATGTGTGTAAACGTAATATTCTGTAGTGAATTTAGTTATTGCCCAGCAGGCACACAACTTCATAAGAAGTTAATATTAGGTTAGATTTAGGTTGTGATTTCAGGTGACTAAAATTCAATGTCTAACCAGCGTCTAAGGACAACATTATTTTGATGTCCAATAATGTCATCAAATGACGTTGATAATTGGTTGATTTTAGGTTGTTAGAAAGTGACCAAAATCCAATGTCGAGCCAACATCTTATACCAACGTAATATTGACGTCAAATACTGACATTTATTCATCAGGTATGGCAACCAAAATCCAACATCTGATAGATGTCATAGTGGTAACATCACAAATAACGTCAAGCTGTAACATCATAAGACATTGATATTTGGTTGGTTTTAGGTTGGACATTGACGTTGGCCTGACATTCAGTTCTAATGTCAACCCTATTTTCATTTCCAAAAAAAAAAAAATCCAACTACCATGACATTAGGGTACAACGTCAATCTGACATCATGTTGACATCTTATGCCTGCTGGGTGTTTAAGGCCATTTTGTCAACATACAGTAAATATCGGTCATCTTCTCATCAGTGATATGCAACTTGACAGTCTCTGGATCAATGCTTCCAAAAGGTTGGCTGCATTTACAGTATAAAGTGCCCAAATCTTGAGGTGGTACATTATGATGCGATTTTCCTTCTATGTGCAATCCGATAGGACAGGAATCACAGGACTGATTTTTCTAATCCTCATAGACAGAAAAAAATAAAGTAGTGACGACAGGTTGAAGAAAAGTAGTGGAGTAAAAGTACAGATACAGCACTAAAAATGCACATTTATAAAACTATTACAATTCCTGAGAAAAAACTACTCAATTACAGTAATTTGAGTATTTGTAATTAGTTACTTTACACCATTGCTGACAGATGGAGATTCAGCTGTGGAAATAAAGGGTTAAAGTTCATTTTCTCAACAATACCACAGTATAGCCAACCTAGTGCTGTGTTTGCTTCTTTCATTGTTCTGAAGATTGATAAAATAACCTACCCTGCATTGTGTGATTCACTGACCATTTATTATTAAAGGAAGGAGCAGCAAAGACATATGTATGTGAATTTGCCAAGTACTGTTACAGTTC